CCTGCTATATCGTAAGGAGACGTAAGCAAACAAAATGTTCTGCCTCACAGACATGGGTAGATTGAGGTTATCGCCCCAGCGTCATGAAAGCTGGTCAGATACACCACTCGCCCTCCTTTTGTGATGTTGGGCTCTCCTACGTTTAACGTTAGATTTTAAATAGTGTTTTTTAGTCTGCGCTTTCCTGAGTAAACCTTGTCGGAATACAATTACTCTACTAGCTCCAGGTTTTAAATAAACCAGACAACTTTGGCTTCTGTATGTTGTAGCTTATCACACTGCTATTAAGTTAAGTGATAGTATAAATTGTAAGATCAGTTTCTCGGTAGTTTGAAGATAGGAGGGATAGGAAAGAGTGTTAGAAATTCATGAAAAAGGCGATAAATGGGTAAAAAAAAGCAAGGTGTTTGGATGTAAATGAGTTGTAGAAATAAAAATTTAATAAACTGATAGCACTTGAACAAGGGGGAACTGACAATGATGATTCAGGAAGTTTAAGTTCCTTGTAATTGATAGCAGTCAAACTGTATCTACAGCATCTTCGATTTATTTTTCTTCTATAACTAGGAGCAAAACGTACTGTGAAATATAAGAAGATAATGATGGGAATTTAAAAATATTAAGCAAACTCCGAATGTTACGGGTAGCTCCTCAAAGGCGTGAACCACTACTGTTAGTAGGAAAAGGTTAATTTGTCTATTATTTCGCGATACCTGTATGGATTGTAATGCAGGTGTAATATATACATGCTCAGTTATTAGTTTCTAAGGTTATTATAAATATTTAGTGGACCGTAAAAAGATTACGGCGGGATTTGTTGTGAGTTCCGGAAATAGTTGATAAATCTTATTACAGATAACAACATAATTACTAGTTTCTGGAACCTAATGATTGTGTCACAGATACGGATACTAAATGATAACCTGTTCCAGTTTAAAACGTATTGTGTTACAAAGAAATGAAAACGCAATGACTTTTTGTGTTTTGCCATTAGTAATGTATGTGCGTAGTTCCCAAGTCTTTAATCAGGTTTGCGGTTCACGATTGGGCGATATTTTGCAAACGAGAGGTCATCTATTATTTTGTAGAGGAGCATTAGGTTGTTTTTCAACCGACGGCACCGAAGATGTTCCAGGGAAAGATGTTTGCATCTTTCTGTGTAGTCGAGATAATGGTTCCATCCTAACAGTTGCCGTGTGAAGCTTCTTGGGATATTTTCTACTAGTATCTTGTCTATGATATTCATTTTTGAAAAGATAAGTGATAAGTATTCAAGTAAACAGTGTAAGCTTAGTCTCATTTGTAAAGAAGTCCTTGTTTAACAACCCGATTAGCCGTCGAGATTCAGAGATAATAGATGAGGCATGTTCTTCGAATTTTAGGCTTCTAGAGTAATGAATACCAAGGTCATGCGCTGATATGAGTTTCTGAACACTACATTTTTGTAAGTAGAGTGGTATTTGATGATGATGCCTACTAAAATGCATAACGCCATATTTGTTGTTGTTAAAAGGTAGCTGTCACGTTTCGCTCCACGTAGATAAGTCGTCAAGTTAGTTCTGAATCTTGGCTATATTTTTGACTACATCTTCAGGCTGTGCACTATTTTGAGATCATCCGCATATAGGTATGACCTTAAAAATTTTATAGCTTTACATATATCGCTTTTGTACATTGGAAACAACAGTGGACCTAATACACTTCCCTTGATAACTCCATTGCTTATTGTTCTTGGTGATGAAAGGCGATCATTGTATTTTACCAGTATGTGTAGTTTGATATACTTAAATAATCACTGCTCCATGGTGTGAGAAATTCCGCGGGCAGATGCAACGTCGTGTCGTGTACACATTCGGCGGTGGGACATCGAATATCTACCCTTAAGCTCGTTCTGATACCTGAGAGGACGGGCGGTAATGTTTCCCACTAGTTGTTGTTTTCGTGTGCTCTCAGAGCATTTTGAGTTGGGGATGAGACCGTTCAAGCAAATCATTTTAGCCTGAGCGGCAGGCGGTAGTGCGTATGCGTTCTGCACCAGGCAGTTAGATAAGGAAGGTGATTAAATAAGACTCGAACTAATGTCCTGAATCAATCGTGATAGCAGGATAACAATCCTGAAGCGCTAACCGTCGTTCTGCCAAACGGCGGGCAACCTTCTCCACAGTAAAAGACATGATGGGACTGACTTCGGGTCATCTAGTGAAGAGTTCGATGAACATGATCATACCTATATGAAGGTGGCGATGGTCCTACAATGTCTATGTGAACGTGATCGAGGCGAAAATCAGGAATGGCGAACGTGACAATCGGGCAGCAACTTTATATTATTGACATTGTAAGCACTGCCCTGACCGTACATGGAAATCTTTATTCATGGACAGCCAGAAATGTCGTGATGAGGCGTAGAGTGGCTGCGATGCCTGTTTGAGATAGTCCATACAGAATGTCGAAAACGAGACGACGATAAACAAAGGGTATGATTGGTAGAGGTAGACTTGTATAAGTGTCGCCTAGGATGGTAACTGAGTTAGCGGCTAGGGGTACTTCCTGGAGCTGGAGGGATGTAGAGCACGATGCTTCTGCACAAAAAGAATCGCGTGCCTGAGCGACAGTCTTAGCTAGCAGATTGAGCACAGTTGAAGTATTTGCATTTGTTTGGATACATGACAGACCGTCGGCAACATAGTGTGACTCAGCTTTAATGTGACGAAGGTCTGTCGTGAACTGTGAGATATAGTCTAAATATCTGAACTCTCGTGGTGAGTAACGATTAGACTTGGCATGCACAGCATACTTTACAGGCTTATGGTCTGTGAACAGAATTAAATCCCAACCTTCTACTAAGTGCCGAAAATTTATGATGGCACAGTATGCTGCCAAGGGTTCTCAACCAAAAGCGCAATATCTCGTCTCCGTGGAAGTGAGGCGTCGTGAGAAAAATTGGAGATGTTGCCAAATTTCAAAGACTTTCTGTTGCTTTGCAGCTGCTACAGCAAAATCTACTGCATCAACGGCTAAACTCAGAGTGGCTGATGGGTCTGGATGAGCTAGGCGTGTGACTTGAGCCAAAGCTGTTTCGGTCTTGCACCAGACGGATCTTAGAAAAGATGGTCATGCCCTTGAGTGATGCCGTCATGTCCTGTATGAGGGAAAAACTATCGGAAGGAGTAGCTGCGTTCAGTGTTCGTAGTCGCTGCCTGGTCATCAACTTACGTCAAAGATTATGCAAAAATTGGAGAGGAGCTGCCCAAGGACTATGAGAAGGAAGAATAATACATGTAACAAGTAAACTGTCAAGCTCACGCTTAGCGAAAGCTAATTTTTCCGTTACTAGTCGGTGAGATTTTGTCATGACTGGGGGTCCGCATTCGACTATGTGTTGTACTACACGACTGGTTGTCTAACAGATCTAGTTGGGAGGTTTAGTTAGCTGGTGAATTTATCATATAAAACATGAAGCACGTCGTCATACGAATAAATACACAAATGATTCGGGGCGCATCTGTTTGGGCTTGTAGATCCTTACGTTTGATGTTCGACGAAGTACGGATTAACTGCAGACTACGTGAATCGACTGGCAATTCATTGCTCTGTAGTAAGTCGGCACCGAGTATGGCTGTGAGAACATAGGCAATAATGAACGTCCACAGATTCTGTCATCCGTAACTTAGACTGATCGTTAGCTGTTGTGTACCTCAGGAAGTAACGACAGAGCCATTCATAGGGCGTAGTCCAGTCGTCGAATCTCGAGACTTGCTGTTACGGATCGGTATGACAGAAACCTGAGCACTTGTGTCAACTAGGTGCCTAGCTTAGTACAGTAATGGTGCACAAACAATAAACGACCAAACTGAAGTGAAGGACCGGCGAGTAAGACCGTATTTGCCAGGCAGCATGTGGATTTCCCGCTTTGTGTGATCTTGGAGAATGACAAAGACAGGCACTGGGCCAGAAGGCGTGGTGAAACTAGCGAAAATATTGACGCAGCACTGGCTTTTTTGCGTGGCTGTAAAGGTGCTCACTTCAGACAAGCCAGAGCTACAACTTTATGTGATCGCGATTGGGCTTCAGAGGAGTGTGGTGCTGGAATATCGGTATGGTCTCGAAAGTTAAGACGGCTGTGTGTGCAGCCACCACCATCCCCTTGAACTAGGCAATGGCTAGCGTTGACATCCTTATTTCGATGTGACGTTGGGGCAACTAAATAATTGTCCCCAATGCTAATCTCCGCGATAACTAAGACAGCTATGAAGGCGACCTTAGGAAGTGGTGTGTCATCGAGCAGTGAAGTAGAAGTAGTAATGATTATAGCCAAAACTCTCCGACTCAGTAATGATCCGCTGTTGCGGGTGCTGTCAGTGGCTGGAGGCTCACAAGATGGTAGCATCACCCAGAGGGTGACGTGCTAATAAGTTTTCCAGTCGCTCCTCTAGGAGAAAATATCTGAAGATTGCCTGTTTGAGACGGCCCTAAACATCGAGTGAGTTCGGATTTAGAACTAGCTCGCGACTAGCAGCTATTCGGCCCACATTTAAAACGTTCACCGGTACAGTTGATCATAATAATAATGTTTCTGATTAACCGGTAGCATTTCTATTCGTAAAAGTGAAATCACTAGAAGCTCGTCGCCGGAAACGGCAACACCACGGCTCGAGAAATGCTACAAGCCTGGGACAGGGGCGTTAGGCAACATTCACCGGTGACCAGTATGTGACCTGTTTAAGAATTCACTGGAGTCACACAAACTCACAGCTTAATGGAAACAAGTTACTCTCCAATCCTCACTGGAGGAGACGGCAAGAATCCTTTTACAGACCAGTCATAATACTACCAATACTATTGAAGGTATCGAAGGGCTTTTCTTCCTCTTGTTCTGGTAATGTGATAGCCACTGGTATCCAGAAATACTACTGCTTTGATAAAAGGTACTCATCCAAATTACGGGGAATACAATCTCATAAAGACATTGGATATATTGGATGTTGTAGGTCACTCTCAGGGTCACATCCTGCCGAAATTTTAAGTCTTTCACGTTATGGATGAGTCTGTACCATCAAAATGTCAGTCCAAGAAACTGGCAAAACGTGAAAAGAAATTGGCTAAATTTGAAGCCAAACAGGAAAAACTTGCATTGGATTCCTCAAAGGTACCTCTCACCTGTTTTTCTCAAGTCTTCAGGAGCAGAAGTCGGCAAAAAAAGATAAATTAAAAAAGGAGCAGGTTGTTCTAGATGCAGTAGCAGACGCATCTGGAAAAAAGGGTTCGTGTGGTTTTATTATTGTTCATGTTTGAAGATATGACAGGTGAAATGCCTGAGTCCTATTCCCCCAAATATGTTGAGGCTATTTGGTACGAATGGTGGGAGCGTAGTGGGTTTTTCAAACCAGAGTTTCAGGTAATTTTGGTTAAAGATTTCCATATTATAAGTTTCAATCAATAGACTAATTTATCTTGCAACCAATAAGTGCTGGTTTACAATTCTAGCGCTTCTCGCTGCCTCAATGTATAAACGTAATTAAAACTTAATAAATGCTAACAGAATATGTCGATTTACATCATTGCCCACTAGAATTTTTAGTTGGCTATCGAACTTTTGAACCTGTTTTATCAGTCTTTAAATTCACATTCATCGTTCCACAAAGTTCTGAAAGCTTTTTGTACTGTTTGTCTCAGACTCCTGACCATTTATCAATCAGTATAGTTGATTTAGTCTTCTGCTAACAGTCAATCTATTGTGCTATGATATTTAAAAAGCATAAATAAGAGGCATTTAAATCTGCATCAACGATTTCTGTTAGTTATTGATTCTTTAACTGTATTTATACTTGACTTTTCTGGATATTTCACCGACAGTTTTATTATCCTCTGATTGTTTCCGACTTTTGTACTTTCATAATAATCGGTCGATTATTTATTCATCCTGAAAACACAAAGCAGGTCAGCACAACGATAAACTGCTTGTGATATGGTGAGAATCTCCAACTTACCAACTTTAATCGTCAAATCTTGAACTGCTATTCATTGTAAACTTGTGTATAAACTAGTTGGCTATCTCACAGTTGGTATAGTTTCTTGTAATACACGGATCTGTACTTAGTGTACACAAAAAAATCTATAATATTCGTTATATAAGTGGTCTTTATGCAGTGGCGATTAGTAAGATTTAAAGTCTACTAGTGTAGGTCAGTTTGTTAAATTTTACTTTTACCATTCTTACTGACAAGAAGGTAGTTTAGTTTCAATAAAATGTCCTCTTTTTCGTTATGACTCTTAAGACTGAAAGCTCAGACAAATTCGTTATGGTTATACCTCCCCCGAACGTTACAGGAGTTTTACATTTGGGACATGCTCTGACAAACAGTGTTGAAGATGCGATTGCACGTTGGCATAGAATGAATGGAAAAGTTACACTCTGGGTTCCTGGATGTGATCACGCCGGTATCGCTACTCAGGTGAGTTTTAAAAAATAATAAAGTGACGTTTCCTAATATAAATGAACTTAGGTCACCGAAAATATACTCGGTTAACTAGTAACTGGGTTCTACTGATACGGCAGTTGCAGTCTACAAGTCGTCGTTAATCACTAAATAATAACGAAAATATACTGTAAATTTTTGTAGTGAGTGAGCAAGATCGTTGTCAGTCAGCCACAACGTAGAACTTCGTACGTACATATATCAGTTCAGGTTGCCATACCATATTAGCACAGAGACGCAGTTGTCAATTCCAATCCCATAGTAGTAGAGTTAGTAAAAGTATTAGAAGTATTCGGAAAGTTTACTGTTGGAAGATGTTATTGAGAAAGTATAATCTAGTGAAATAAAGAAAACGATAAAGGTGATGAAAAATCCAGAGGATTAGGATTTGACAGAAGTCAAAGAATGGATGCACCTGTGCCATTGCAAACGATTTTGAGCCCTGTCATTCAAGGTCGCTAACAATCCGTTTCTGTTGTCTCGCAGATCCCAACCACTTACCAACATGACTCAGTCCACTTGTCAGTGACTTCATGGATTTGTGCCATGTTTTGGTTTGGCCGCCCCTAACTTTCTTCCAACCTACTACACCACAAATCATATCTCGTCGAGGCAGTCGGTGGTTAGCCATACGTAACACATGTCCCAACCACCTCAATTGATGAAGATTCATCACTTCACCAATTAATTTGCCATCCTTACTGATTACTCGTTTCCTAACACTAGCATTGGTTACTCGGTTGTCCCAGGATACACGAGCAATGCTTCTAAGATATCTGTGATCGAAAACCGGTAACCTACAAATATCTTCTACTCTGACTGGCCATGTTTCATAGCCATAAAGTTTGACTGTACGATAATTCACGTTGACAATTTTAAATTTGATACTTTTGTTTCTCTTGTCAAATACCGACATATATCGTCTAAGTAGTAATAGAACTTTACAATAGTATTTGTCAGGTCAAATTTTGGTAATCATGATTACAAACTCATAACGAACCGAATTCAATTCTCTACAGGCATTTTAATTCTTATGTTTGAAATATTTGTTAACTACATATATAAGTTCTGGTAAATTTGTCGAAACATGTATGATATTTTTTTGAAAACAGTACATACTCCATACTTTTATCCTTTCTTTTCATTATAGGTAGTGGTAGAAAAGAAATTATGGCGAGAGAAAAAACTCACTCGACATGATATTGGACGTGATGAATTTGTAAAAGAAGTTTGGAAATGGAAAGAAGAGTAAGATTTCCTTTCATTAATAAGTTAGACATTAGTCGTAGTAGCTGTAGTGTAGGTTGTCCATCAAGTAGCTTGTAACTTGTTTTATACATGGATTATCTCTACTGTTTATATCTAGAAAATATATCGTTCAAGCTGATTCCTTCTGTGTAGTCGAACGTGTCAATCAATCACTTCACTTACCTCGGGAGTCTTATCAATGCCGATGGCATGGTTTGTGACGAAATCTCGATTAGCTTTCGCCAACTTGTGTCACTTATAGCGCAGGCGAGATATCCGTTTTCTAATCGAACGACGAGTGTACTGCGCAGCGGTTCGCTCCGTCGTACTATACGGATGCGAAACATGGCCGGTGAGAGTAGATGACATTCGTAGATTGCTTGTCTTCGATCATAGGTGTCTCCGAAGCATTGCTCGAGTATCGTGGAACAGCTGAGTAAGCAATCCTGTCGTTAGAAAACGAGTTCTAAGTAGGGATGGCAAACCAATAGATGAAGTATTGAAACTTCATCAGTTGAGGTGGTTGGGACATGTGTTACGTATGCACAACCGTCAACTACCTCAGCGAGCAATGTTTTGTGGTGTAGGAGTAGGTTGGAAGAAAGCTAGGGGCGGCCAAACCAAAACATGGCACAAATCCATGAAGTCATTGACTAGTGGACTTAGTCATGTCGGTAATTGTCGACTACCTGTTTGGGGTCCGCCAGATGATAATAATCGATGGTTAGAGACCTTGAATGACATGGCTCAAAATCGTTTGCAATCGCGCAATTGTATCCGCTCATTGTGTTCTCCCAGAAATTTAACCTTCTGAGTTCCTCACCTTGTCCATCTTTCTCTGTTTGAATTTATTTCACTGAATTATACTTCTCGAATCATATTTTCGAACCCTAATCTTCTCCATTATCAGTAATCCTTCTACTATGGTTACCACTATTGGATTTGACCTGACAGTTGTGTGTGTGTGCTAGTGCGGTATGGCAACCTGAACTGATGTGCTTACGTACGAAGTGCTGCGTTGTATCTGTCTGTCTGTCTCTGTAGTTCTCTCATGATGTATGTCTTTTTACTTAAGTTTGGTCAATATATGGTGTTGTCGCGTATGATGGAATAGCGTTAGATAACGACATCTCAATCAACTTAGCTATTAAAACTGAACCACTGTCTGTAAAAATGTAGTAGTTAACACGTTATGACTTTTCCAACTCAACTAAAAGTTGGATACCCTATATGGAAATCTATTTAGGATGAATAGTTAACAACTAAAAAGAATCTTGGTGCTAGATGAACGATACGTCAAGTCGATCATATCAGCACTTTTTAATCTGCCAGATAACAAGTCCTAAAAAAAAATTTACGTTTAGAGGGCGAAAACCATGTCCCAAACATATTTTTACCGTTTCTCAAGGAAATCAAAAGAACTATGTCATCATGCTCTAACTTAACAAGCGAATCTTCTGATAGGAGACCGATTCCTGAGAAGTATTAAACGACGAGAGCGTTATATCTAAGCTGATGTTTACAAATTTAAATAGAAAGAAAGTAAGTGAGCAACCCTTGAAGCTGAAAAATATGGTAACAGTTCATCATAGGCTCTAACTCTACAAATATTATTCAGGTAGAGCCTGTACACAAGGCTGATGTACTTTGGTACACCTTTCAGTGACCGACACTGCCGAAAATCCCGATTAATTGTATCGAATACTTTTTTTATGGTCAGGGAATACAAATATAATCAGACATTGAAAAGTAAGTCTGTATATTCCAAAACCTAGGATTAGGGTTGGCGTGGTGGTAAACAGATACATGAATTCAAGTAACCTGGCCATGTTTCGTTCATTTTCATGTTGCTACCCAACCGTAGCAGCTAAATTGACACAATAGTTATACTCATTAATATCAACAACTCAGTCAGGCTAATTTGGACAGAATGTATTTTCTCATTGAGTTTCGATCAAAAGTATCAAATTTATGGTATGATGACTGACTATACTATAATATGTTCTTTTAAAATTGGTTTATTGACTTAGAATATGCCGATGACATAGTCCTACTTGGTGAAGGCGCTGACAAAATGCAGAGTCTTCTGACCACCCTAAGCAACAATGCAAACATGTTCGGGATGCGGTTTTCCCCCGTCGAAATGCAAAATGTTGCTTCAAGATTGGGTTTCATCGGCACCTGAACTAGTGATAGGGAGTGAAGTAGTCGAACGTGTAGACCGCTTCACTTATCTGGGGAGTCTCATCAGTGCCGATGGTCTGGTGACTGACGAAATCTCAGTTCGGATACAGAAGACTCGATTGGCTTTTGCCAACGTGTGTCACTTATGGCGTAGGCAAGATATCCGTTTGCTGACTAAAGGACGAGTGTACTGCACAGTAGTTCGCTCCGTCTTACTTTATGGCTGTGAAACATGGCCAGTGAGAGTAGAAGATATTCGTAGGTTACTGGTTTTCGATCATAGGTGTCTTCGAAGCATTGCTCGTATATCGTGGGACACCCGAGTGAGCGACGCTGTTATTAGGAATCGGGTGCTAGGTAAGGATGGAAGATCAATAGACGCAGTAGTGACACTTCATCAGTTGAGGTGGTTGGGACATGTGTTGAGTATGTCTAACCACCGACTGCCTCGAAGAGCTTTGTTTTGTACTGTAGGAGTAGGTTGGAAGAAAGTTAGGGGCGGCCAAACCAAAACATGGCAGAAATCCATGAAGTCATTGACGAGTGGACTTAGCCATATCGGTAATTGTCAACTACCTGTTTGGGGTCCGGGAGATGGTAATAATCGATGGTTAGAGACCTTGAATGACATGGCTCAAAATCGTTCGCAATTGCGCCGGTGCATTTATTATTTGTGTTATCTCAAACCCTAATCTTCTGGATTCTCCAACCCCTCTAGTTTTGACTTTCTAAACTTTTCTCATATAATCATACTTCTTGAATAATATCTTCTAATCCTAACCTCTCCGATTACTTCTAATACTTTTACAACCTCTTCTACTATTGGATTTGAATTGACAATTATATCTCTATGCTAATGTGGTATGGCAACATAAACTGATGTATTTACGTACGAAGTTCTATGTTGCATCTGACTGACTTATTCCATCCATAACTTACAATTAAACTCACTTTTATTTATTATCATTTTTAGAAAAGGTGATCGAATTTATCAACAACTCAGAGCATTAGGAAGTTCTTGTGATTGGTCTCGGGCTAGATTCACTATGGATCCATCGATGTGTAAAGCTGTCACTGAGGCATTTATTCGTTTATATGATGAAGGTTTAATTTATCGAAGTCTTCGACTAGTCAATTGGTCGTGTACATTACGTTCAGCTATATCAGATATTGAAGTAGATAAACGTGAACTAACTGGGCGTACTTTACTTCCTGTTCCAGGTTATGATAAACCTGTAGCATTTGGAGTGATTGTATCATTTGCTTATCCTCTGTTACCTGGTCAGTATTTTTTTTGCTTTATGTGTGTGACCTCTTCAATATCATTTTAATGCGAATTCAGCTTTTTTGTTTTGAGGATTTAGATAACAGTGGTTCCCTTTGATAAATTTGAATAGAGAAATAAGAAGACATATTTTGTGTGAGGTAGTAGTACCATTTCGTGTACCATTTCTCGTCAGTCACATACAAGCAACCTTTGTTTACCATGGTTCTTCTAGTGAGTGAATGAATGTCATGCTAAATAAGAAATTTTGACCTTATCTTCAAAACTACTGTATTTACACAAATAATATGTTGCTTGTATGTATGTGACTGACGAGAAATGGTACACGAAATGGTACCACTATCTCACAAAATATGTCTTCTTATTTCTCTATTCAAATTTAGATAACATCAAAAATTTTTATTAATTTAAACAAGTGATGTAGAACATTAGCTTAATACTTATTTACTTACTTACTTTCTCCCTGTTACCCCCTAAAGGAGCATAGGCTGCCGACCTGTATTCTCCAACCTGCTCTATCCTTCCTAGCCTTCCTTTCTAGTTCTTCCTAATGACTGTTCATTCACCTATATATTTCTTATTGCCCTAATTGTCAAAAGAGGCATCGATTCTGTAACTTTTCGAAGAAACTTTGGCTTTCATCATGATGTATCATAACTCTTATAAATGAAGACGTTCCAACTCCCAGGGCAGAGTTTAAATGGTGTGAATTATATTTTTATGGCTAGCATTTTTTTTCAGCGAGTTCGTTTTTTTGACGTGATGCGGTCGTTAATCCCGTACCCAATCCTCCTGCTTGGGACTGCAAGTAACCGTAGAGAGGCTTCAGGCGGATTTGTTTGCTTAAAAGTTGAATCTTGATTGCAAAAAAATTCCAGTAAACACCTTGTACGCGCGTATTTCTAAAATCTTCATGTTTATAGTAAAATAGTGTCAAAAAATATAGAGAAAGAATACGAAAGCTTCCGATTTTTTCCCAGGTGATTTTTTTGAAAATCCCTATTGATTATTCTGAATGATCATAGTGTCCGTTATCGATCATACTTGACTAATGAATGATACGACCATTTAGTTGTGTAAGTTTTGTAAGTTTCCAGTCTATAACCTATGTAGCTAAAACAGAGATAAATCATTTCGTCATTAAACTATTTCTCTAAATGAATAACCTATTACACAACATTTATGAAATAACTGTGATATCATCGAGGATAACAAAACGATATGATACTTTACCAGTAAATATATGGTAGCTTTAAGTACTAATCATTACTTTACTTATGCCTGTTACCCCTAATGGAGCATAGGCCACCGACCAGTGTTCTCCAGCCTACTCTGTCCTGGGCCTTCCTTTCTAGTTATGTCTAACTGTTATTCATTCTTCTCATGTCTGTCTCCGTTTCTCAGCGTAATGTGTTCTTCAGCCTTTCTTTTTTCCGTTAGCCTTGAGGATTCCAAGTGATGGTTTGTCTTGTGATGCAGTTGGGTGCTTTCCGTAATGTGTATCCTATCCAATTCATGATTTCTTCCTCTTCTAGAATCTGGTTTGTTCTCTTCCACAGTAGGTTGTCACTAATAGTGTCTGGCCAACGGGTCCCCGAAGTATTTTGCATAGACAATTGTTAATCAACACTTGTATTTTCTGGATGATGACTTTCGTAGTTCTCCAAGTCATTGTTCAAATAAAATGCTTTCTTAGATTTTCATGAATGTTTTCAACTCAGGAATCGTGTATATGTAGATTGTATATACGCAACTACTGCTTACCCAGACGAGTCAATATTCACTAGTGTCGAAGGAGATGTAAAGAAAGTTAAGCTTTTTCCACGACCAAAGTGTAATATCAACCCATCGAATTTTTGACCTGTTGGTGTAAACTATACTTTGGTCTGGTATGATGAAGATCAATGGTTGAGGACCAGTGATATGACTCGAAATCGATTACAATAACTCATTTACTCTTCATTGTTCGTTAGATTCTTAAATTCCATTAGTTTATCCATCGTATTCTGTATATTTTAGTCTGAACTTTTTCACTTTTAACCTTGTCAATTATCTCCACTCTCTCTCTCTCTCTTGTTATGATGATATCAACTGTTACTGCTACTCATTTTTACCATGCTCTACGTTGTGCATCACTGACTGCATTCAGTTTAAACATGTTTCATTTCGGATTAAATTATGTAACTCACTAACCAGTTGAGATATATATATATATTCGACTCTTAACTGATAGCTTACATCTATCTGAACAATTAAGCAATCTTCTATACCCGATTATATTCTCGTTGTTTTTGGTACACAAAGAGGTGCATTGATTCTTTTTCTGTGTTGTCACAAATCCTCACCTTCAGAGTTCCTCATCACCTTCATTAACTTTTTCTTTTTAAATGTGTATTTCAGTCAGTCAGTCAGTAAGTTAGAACGTAGAACTTCCTACGTAAGTACATCAGTTCCAGTTGTCATGCCACATTAGCACAGAGGTGGAATTGTCAATCTCAATCCCATAGTAGCAGGGGTAGTAAAAGTATTAGCTTTTAGCTGCTACCCCACCGTAGCTGTTACTTTGACGTGGTGGTCGGGCTTGCCTATCGTGACGACCCAATCGAGCTATATTGGCTGGAACATATGTTCCTGAATGTTCTACCACGCCAGGCAGGTCGATTGGAGAACAGTGAGACTAAAATTAGCTACTCAAAGTCTGAGGGCGAAGTCGAACAGCTGACTGTAGAGGGGTGTGACAGCAGTAAGATGTTTCCCTCGAACAGCCAGCATCTACAGCGATGCTGCCTTCTCACAAGGAAGAAAGGAAGGGTTAGAAAAGGTCGACCCTAAAAATGTCACACCTCACCCTACCTCACGGATTTCCGTCTCCTTGGGTAAGGGTACCCACTAAGGGCTTTTAAAAAGAGCGGAGCTAATACTCAAAAAAATATGTATTTCACTAGATTCTACTTCTTGCATAATAATATCTTCGAACCCTAATCTTCTCCGATTACTGCTACTACTATGGGATTTGAAGTGATAATTCTATCTCTGTCTGCTAATGTGGTATAGCAACTTGAACTGATGTACGTACGCACGTACGAAGTTCTAGGTTGCTGTTGATTAATTGATTAGTATTCTCATAACTTTTTCCATCGCAAAAAATATCTATTAAATGTTATTCTACTTTTTTTTTTAAAAATTGCCTTTTTTTCTTCTCCTCTACACTTCCAGATCCTAGTAAATCTGATACAGATACAGAAATTATTGTTGCTACTACACGACTTGAAACAATGTTAGGTGATACTGGAGTTGCTGTACATCCAGATGATCATCGGTATAAACATTTAATTGGTCGTCTTATCAAACATCCCCTTGTTCCTGATCGATTCATTCCAATTGTTGGTGATACATTTGTTGATCCGAATTTTGGTACTGGTGCTGTAAAATTAACTCCAGCTCATGATCATAATGATTGGGAAGCGGGTAAAAGGCATTCATTGCCTACTATTGTAGTGATTGGTGAAGATGGTTTAATGACATCGGCTGCAGGTCCTAAATTTGCAGGTATATATATATATATATATATATATATATATATATATATATATATATATATATATATATATATATGACTAAACTATTTATTGATTGAAGTTTTTCAATTGAGATAATTTTGTTGTCGTTGTTGTTGAATGCTCGTTTTTAGATCCAGTCAGTCAGCAAAAACGTAGAACTTTGTACGTACGTACATCAGTTGAGCGTGTTGACTGCTTCACTTATTTGGTGTGTCTCATCAGTGCTGATAACCTGGCGACTGACGAAATCTCAGCACGGATACAGAAGGCTCGATTGGCTTTTGCAAATTTACATCGTTTATCGCGTAGGCAAGATATCCGTTCGCTGACCAAAGGACAAGTGTACTGCGTAGCAGTTCGACCCGTCCTACTTTATGGGTATGAAACAGCCAGTAAGAGTTGAGGATATTCGTAGGTTATTAGTATTCGATTCTAGATGTCTTCGAAGCATTGCTCGCGTATCATGAGACAACCGAGTAAGCAAGAAGCAGGTCGTGAGTAGGAATGGCACTTCAATATATCAAGTATTGAAACTTCATCAGTTGAGGTGGTTGGGACATGTGTTACGTATGGCTAACCACCGACTGCCGCGACGAGCTATGTTTTGTGGTGTAGTAGTTGGTTGGAAGAAAGCTGCGTGCGACCAGACCAAAACAGGGCAGAAATCTATGAAGTCATTAACAAGTGGACTGAGTCATGTTGGTAGATGTGGACTATCAGGTCGGAGTCTGTGAGATGATAGTAACCGGTGGTTAGATCCTTAGAATGGTTTCAGTCAGTTACAACGTAAGACTGAATGATTTGGCTCGAAATCATTTGCAATAGCGCAGGTGCATCCACTCGTTATATTCTCTCAAATTCTAACCTTCTGAATTCCTCATCATCTCTATCTTTCTCTTTCTAACTTTATCTCACTGAATTATACCCTAATCTTTCCGATTACTGCTAATACTTCTACTATATATACCACAATGGGATTTGAATTGATAATTGCGTCTCTGTGCTAATGCGGTATGGCAACCTGAACTGATGTATGTCTGTACGAAGTTCTACGTTGTAACTGACTGACTGACAACATTCACACAGAGATGTAATTGTCAACTCCAATCCCATCGTAATAGAGGTAAGCAGAAGTAATAACAGCGATCGGGAAGATTAGGATTCGAAGATATTGTTCAAGGGGTATAATCCAGTGAAGTAAATTTGAGAAGAGAAAGATGAAGGTCATGAAAAACTGGGATTCAATTCATGAACTAACTTGTTTGAGCTACAAATGTAAGAAAAGTATTTACCACCGAAGTATGTTACTCACTATTCACGTTCATAAATCAAACAAGAAAATCTTTAATCGTGAAGGTATTTCTTCCTAAAAACATTATTATAAAAATGTAGAAATATTATATACCTAGGTCTTTTAACCCTCGTGGAGCATAGAACGCCGACCAGCATTCTCTGACCAACCAAGTCTATTTCGGGCTCTCCTTTCCAGTTTTGCCCAGTTGCTGTTCATTCTTTCCATGTCTTTCTCCAATTATTGGTGTAGTGTTTTCCTTGGTTTACCTCTTTTCCTTTGGCCTTGAGGATTCGAAGCTAGGGCTTCCTTCATGACAGTTTGATGATTTCTGCAATGTGTGTCCTATCCACCTCCAGCATTCTCCCCGAAATTCTACCTCAGCTAGGTTGTTCTTTACAATAGTGTGTTATTGCTGATAGTGTTTGTCTAACTTATAGGGAGTATCTTGCATGGACAGCTCTTTATAAATACCTATATCTTCTGGATGATGGCTTTCATAGTTGTCCATAGTTCCGCTCCATACAACAGAACTTTCTTGACATTCTTATTGAAAATTGTGACTTCATTGTCGCTAGACAGTTTTTGTTTTGAGTTCCAAATATTCTTCAAATGTACAAATGATGCCTTTGCTTTCTCCAGTATACGCCTTCACATGTGCATCAGATCCACCTTATTTATCTAGCATACTGCTCAGATATTTAAAAGATTCTCACATCTTTCAAAGCATCTCTATCAAGTGTGATTTGGTTAGTGCATGTTGTGTTGTTGTCTCGTAAGATCTTATATTTTCCCTAGTGTTGTATGTTAAGGCCTACTGCTGCAGAGGCTGCTGCTTCACTGGCGATCTTCACCTGTATTTGTTGCTGTATGTGGGATAAAAGGGCTAGTACATGTGCAAAGTCTTTGTCGTGTAGCTGTGTCTTTACTGTCCAGTGTATTCCGTGCTTGCTATGAGATGTGGAGGTTTTCACAATATACCACTTTACTATACGTCTCATTCACGAACAGCACCGCAAGACTACCATTAGAAGCATAGAAGCATTGAACTGAAAACTTCACGAGTATTGAATTTTTGAGATTTAGGAGGCATAATATTGAGTCTAATATTGATGGAGGGACATCAAATCAATAAAATAACATGATGTTGTTATGTTCGTCACTTGGCGGCACGCTTGAAGCTATTACGAGTTCACCTTAGTCGATAAACGCGAACGAGACAATGAACCAGCGTCCAGGTGGGCTACCTTGAATCCAAAACTGTAAAACAGAAGACTTGATAAGCCTAGAAAGTATATTCTACAAACACCCAGCAGTCACACAATACAATCAAGCACACAACTCTCGTTTATTTATACAACATAGAAACGACGTCCTTGAGACAGTCACAAAAGTCGCACACTAAAATACACAGCAGCCAATCACAGCCATGGATTTTCCTGGTGGGAAATGAAATATCAAGATCAAGTGATCAGCCCATGCTGGCAAACGTGAAATCCAAACAATAAGGCATTTATCAAGCGAGTTTTGGGGATCTAACATCCCCAACAGATATTTAAATGGTCCTTGAATTATTTCAGTAAACCTATTATTTGACAAGATTACTTGTTAGTGGGTGTAAGCAACCTAGTTGCGGTCCACGAGACGATAGCAACCGGTGGTTAGAAACGTTGAATGACGCAAATGGCTCAAAATCATTTGTCACGGCGCTGATGCATCTATTGTTTGTCTTCTCTCAAATTCTAATCTTCTGAATTCGTGATCATCTTAATCTTTCACTGGATTATACTTCTTGAATCATATTTTCGGTCATTAATCTTATCGATTACTGCTGATATTCCTACAATTCTATCTTTGTGTGCTAATGTGCTATGGCAACTTGAACTGATGTATGTACGAACCAGGTTCTACGTTGTTGCTGACTGACTCACTGACAAGATTACGCAAAAACATGATTTAGTAATGTTTTTTTTGTTATATAAGGTAATTTAGCTAAATCAAAAGTTCTCTTACCATTTAGCCTGTTGTGTTATACATAGTTAAGGGTGAATAATGAAGCAATGCAATTAAACGTTTACTGTAGTATTTATGGAACCTGGACAAGTTTCTACATCCCTTATATGATACATTTGAATAAAATAATCACGAACTAGTTCTCAAAAGATATCCACATGGTTGTCATACAGTAGTAGTGTGGTGCGCGCTACTTATAAGTAGTATATGACGTGAGTGTCAACGTAATGTCTGGCAGCAGCAGATGGGGGAAGATTAAGAAAGGAAGAGTGGGAACACAATGGAATTTGTATGAAATGCATGAATAGTGAAATAAATGTCAGACAATGGATTGATGATTGATTGAAGATTTGCAAATTAACGATATATACGATATGGTTTTCCTATTTTACTGAGTAACTCTGTAATTTTCGTTAAATACATTTTGGTTGTCCTCACCTGTGTTCTCCTTCACTACAGTAGTTGCACGTCGAAGTAGAAAAATTCCTCAAACTTGTTAAGCTCTTTTTTAAAATGTGCTCGCTCTTACTAATTGTTCAACATTCATTACTCTTCATTTATCTATTCACCTTTTCCTATTCAATGCTAAATTGTTTTTTCTAAGAAAAAACTATACTTTTATGTTTAAATTGGCAGGACTTCCAAGATTCATTGCTCGTAAAGCAGTTCAAAAAGCTCTCGAAGAATTAGGTTTATACCGAGGTGAAAAAGATAATCCTATGGTTGTACCGATTTGTTCTCGTAGCAAAGATATTGTTGAACCGCTGTTGAAACCGCAATGGTATCTACGTTGTCAAGAGATGGCTGATGCAGCAATAAAAGAGGTTGGTTTTATGTTGTTTTTCTTTCCAAAAGGCCACCACTGACCAGCGAATCAATTTTTTCTGGTTAGCGTTTTTTTGGTAAGTTGAATTTCTACGGGATATAGGGTAGCTAACCGTATCGTGCCCAAGCCTCCTTTATATGCGCTCGGGACCAGCAGTAGTCCATGGTGGGGCTTCAGTTGGAGTCCTAATTAATAATAATTACGTATTAATAATTTTTTGTATTCAGTTATAGTTTCGCTTCGAAACTTAATTTGATCACATCGATATAGATTGATCGGTGTACATGATCTGATTTAAGTTCCACTCGTTAGTTTTGATTATTTATTGAGATGGTGGAGAAAATTTGTAGCTCAGGTGGATGCTTGTGGTGGTGTTCGGTTCTCTGAGTTGGATGTTTTGGTTGTGAAGCTTTCATTGTTCTTCTGAACGAATACGTCTGTGTGGGTTGGCTTCCGAAATACTTGAGTTTCCAAAAATGTTGGTTCGCTACATAGACGACACGTTCGTCATTATCAAAAGGAACGAGCTAGAGAACATCTACAATCAGATCAACAACGTCTTCGCTGACATCAAACAACAGTCTGTCATTAACAGTCAAACACCACGACAACGCTTCGCTTATACAATACACACCGACAATTATGGACACATTCGATTGAAACAATGTGGAAATACTGGGTAGGTGGATGACAAAGAACACTAGAGAATTTTTAGAAACTTGGCTCTCAGGTCAATCAGCAATCAACAGACACATCGACATTGACCCAATTTATCAACCAATAAGAAAAATCATAGGCAAACAGGATCAAGAAACAGATCAAAAGACTTACAGATAGTGCGTATTTATACATTTAGGTCAAATAGGAAAGAGCATCGAACTCTGTGACATTGACAGTTTAGGACGACCAATAGGAAGGAACATTTGAAATGACATTGACAGTCCGGATGACCAATAAGAGACAACATTGAAGTATTTGACTTTGACAGTTAAAACGACCATAATTTTGATCAATAGAAATCGACCAATCGGATTATACTTCCAAAAATAGTAGTACTCTTAGGATATTTGGTGAATATCCTAACAGATTGATTGAAGTTCGACAATTGCACCGTTAGATACCAACCCCAGAGGTTTAGAGTCTAAGCGTTCGTGTGACAGACTGAAGGTCTTGGGTTCGATTCCCACATGTATGCGCACTGTTCCCAGGGTTTCTAACAGTGGCCTAACATTGATCGATTCATTACGACAATAGTTAATAATTGTTCTTTCCTTATCAAAAATTTAACCATATAAGTAGTACTTAAATGTCTAATAGTTTAGTTTTAGAAAGTGATTAATGCTTAATTGAAAACATTGATTGCACATTTCTCTATTGTCTATTATTATTGTCTAAAGTTAGTTAGTCGACATTGTAGTGGTCTAACATTGATCGGTTTATGACTTGAATGCAACTCAACAATCTCTACAACCTTCCTACTAAAAATTACCATGTGCTCACTATTAACTAGCTTCCAAACGGATATCTCGGTGTCCTGGTGAGAAGCTTTAACCAGTGGAGCTCGATCTTTGTGGGGTGTGAGGGAGTTCCTCTCCGAAGACGACCGATGATGTTCACACGATAGTTTGAGGTAATCCAAGTTAAACATTGAGCACTGTTGTCTGCCGTTCATGGGCGTCATCGGAGGTCCTGAATTCGATCCCCACATACGTGGGGTCGTGTATGCTCATTGTTGATGAGTCAGCTCCATATTAGAACAGAACGACTGTCCAGGTTTTCACATGTTGTCTAACTTGCTTACGCACTGTAAACTCTCGAAATCACCAACCACTCTAAGTTGGTACACAATTGAAAACCTCTAAGCAGTGAATGGCCATTTCTTTCTTGTGTAGGACTCATCAGCAGTGCATGTCCGCGACTCCGCAGCCAGAAATAAAAGCTAGGGACGTCGGTCTTGTCTGTGAACACTTTAATTCTAGATTGCTGAGTTAAGACTCGATGATATAAAGATCTAACCTCACTCGATCAATCATTCTGCGTGATAATGTTGCATCGTCTTCGTTAGGTACCTTCTTGAAATCCGACACGATTTACTCCTGCTGGTTATGAGTTCACACTAGAATTCCGGAAAATTTCCTGATGAAGCTAGTCACCAATGATCTGTTTCGAAAAATTTGAATTTATTGAATCAGTAGTATTGTCATGAACAATCCTATCACCTGAATACAATATCTAATGTAGTTATTGGAAAATTTATGCGTTTACTCTAACCCTGGTACTTTCAATGTCCACATCTAACTGTACATTAGACAATAGTCAAGTGTAGTTAAAACGTTAAAGAAAAATATCGCTGTAGATTTCAGTGGAGTGTTACAACTTCGTCCACCATCATCATCTACCAACGATGCCTAACTTAGTCATTGTTTTTGTTCGAAGTAAAATGGAGCCTTTTTCTTGAAGCAATTATTTGTATATATATATATATATCTATTGTGCAATAATAGTGAGGTCTCTGGTCCTCGTCGTTAAAGAAAAAGTTGATTTGTGTCTAACTTGATGATGTGGTTATAGTTTAGTGGGAGATAAATAGGATATTAGTCTACCGGCTGACATCTCACTTAAAAGATTTGATTATGACCAATTTGGTCACGTGTGCTGTTACGGGTATGAGGGTGGTTGTCACCTCCCAGTTGCCCACACTGTGGAAGGGTACTTTTTAAGGAATCTGAAAAATGAAATCTAGTTGGCATTGGTCTGAGTGACCTGGGAGCGTGATCACAAAGCCCAAGGGACAACTGCTTGAAGCTGGTCATGCACGGCCTTTTTATGAAAGGTTCTTAAAGTGTTAGCTCCGCTCTTATTTAAAAGGCTTTACCGCCGGAGACGGAAATCCGTGAGGTCTGCCATTTCTAACCCTTCCTTGTGAGGCAGCATCACTGTAGATGCTGGTTGTCCGAGGGAAACACCTTACTGTTGTCACACCCCTCACCAGTCAACAGTTCGACTTCGCCCTCAGACCTTGAGTAGCTGGTTTTAGTCTCATCGTCTCCAATCGACCTGCCTGGCATGGTAGAACTTTCAGGAACATATGTTCCAGCCAATACATCTCGGTTGGATCATCACGATAAGCAAGTTCGACCACCACATCAAGGTAGCAGCTACGGTCGGGAATATCTACGTACGTGCGAAATTCTACATTGTAACTGACTGATCTCACTGATAGTGCGTACTTATGCGCACTAATGGAAATATGTCTGTTGAACACCTGTTAGAACCGCTACACAATAAATCTTTTTTGTTTTGTTAATAAACAATCTTATACTTTATAGACAATAAAGAATGTGTTGTGTTTTTTTTGCTTCAATTATTTATTGATTTATTCCAGGTATCTGAAGGTCGTTTACGTATTATTCCTAATTTTCATATTCGTACATGGAATAATTGGCTTAAAGATTGTCATGATTGGTGTATTTCACGACAACTTTGGTGGGGACATCGTATTCCAGCTTATCATGTCTCGATTCAACGTCCGGGTGTAGATCATTTAGAAGTTTTGGATGTAAGTATTTGAAAAGTTGTATTTTTGTGGTACATTCGACATAGTGATCATTCATCAACCATCTTACTTATCAAGTGTATTGTTCTATTATCTGGTCGTTTAAGTAACGAACTAACTAAATCTCAATATGGACAGAAAATTATTTACTATTTTGAATCGATCTGTATCAAACGAGCATTTTGTGATCGTGGTTTGGTTTTGTGATATGGTCGTACCTTCGATAGCAGTAAACTTACTGCTTACTCAGTTGTTCCAATTCATACAAGTAACGCTTTCCAAGACGCTTATGGTCAAATACTAGTGACTTATTAATATCCCTTACTTTTACTGGCCATGTTTCACAGCCATAAAGTAGGACGGATCGAACAACAATGCTTCGGAGACATCGATGATCGAAGACTAGTAACCTACGGAAGTCCTCTACGGCCAAGTCTCGCATCTGTACAGTAGGACGGAGCGAAATGCTGCACAGTACACTCTTCCTTTAGTCAGCAAACGGATATCTCGTCTACGCCATAAGTGACCCAGGTTGGCAAAAGCTAGTTAAGCCTTCTGTATCCGAGCTGAGATTTCGTCACAAACCAGGCCATCGGCACTGATGAGACTCCCCAGATAAGTGAAGCGGTCTACACGCTCGACTACTTCACTCCCTATCACTAGTTCAGGTGCCGATGCAACCCAGTCTTGAAGCAACATTTTGCATTTCGAGAGGGAAAACCGCATCCCGAACATGCTTGCATTGTTGCTTAAAGTAGTCAGAAAGCTGCATTTTGTTAGCGTCTCCGTCAAGCAGAACTATGTTGTCCGCATATTCCAAGTCAACAAGTGAATCCTTTGTCAGAAGATTAACCCATGAGAAGTCAGATGATGAAAGTTTTAACTCTAAAACCATGTCAATGACAAAGTTGAATAAGAATGGAGAAAGTGGACAGTCCTGACGAACACCACTGGAAGAAATGAATTCCGACTACACTTCTCTAACTTAAACAAAAGTGTTCAAGTAGAGAGTTTGTATAAGGTTAGTGCACTTCTTCGGTATGCCTTTCAATGACAGACACTGCCACAAAACCTCACAATCGATAGAGTCAAAAGCCGCTTTAAGGTAGAGAAATATAACCATTGTGGGGCGTCTGAACGTTTGTCTTTGTTCTACGACCTGTCATAGTGTAAATATCTGGTCTATACGCCCACGTCCAGGTCTGAAACGAGCCTGGTTTTCTCGAGTCTGCTCTTCACGAGCCGTAGTAAGGCGTCGGAGTATTATTGAAGGCAATATCTTGGGCACTATATTAGTTAAACTGATTGCTCTGTGACTTCACAAGTAGACATTTTCCCTTTTTTGTAGACTGCGACAATCAGTGACTGAGAACAATGGGATGGGAGTACTCCCAGCTCCCAGATTCTTTTTAAGATCTCAATCAGTCTAACTGTTAAAACTGGACCACCATCCTTAAAAATCTCAGGGGTCAATCTGTCCGGACCCGTTGCTCTCCCTCGTTTTACATTTCCTATAGCTTTTTCAGCTTCACTAAGAGTTGGGGGACTTACATCAACTTGCCATTTAGGTTGACTAGAGACAGTGGGTCACTGAGTTAATCAGTTAATCAAGAGCTTATCACAAAAGGAATATATATATATATTTCAGTGCTAGGAGTTCCCACTTCCGTCATTTTCTTTCGCTAATCGGCGATGTCTAAAATGTGGTTGAAAACTCCAAAAACTTCCTGTTATTCATAGTTGAAATTTGAGCTGTGCAATGAAAACTGACGAAAATTAACTTGTCCCTCAGAGTAGTGTATCATTTTATCAAACATAATGTGTTTATTTTTCAAACTGTTTTTTATATTATCAATTTCAGCCTACCGATCATAATTCATGGATCATTGGTCGAACCATAGAAGAAGCACTTACAAAAGCTTGTGTCAAATTTCATTGTTCCCCAGAACAATTAATTTTAAATCAAGACAATGATGTTTTGGATACATGGTTTTCATCACAATTATTTCCATTCTCTGTATTTGGTTGGCCTGAACAAACCGCTGATTTAAATGCATATTATCCTGGGCATTTATTAGAAACTGGTCATGATATTTTATTTTTTTGGGTTGCACGTATGGTTATGATTGGTTTGAAATTATTGGGGCAATTACCATTTCATACTGTTTATTTACATGCGATGGTACGTGATGCTCATGGTAAGAAAATGAGTAAATCACTAGGTAATGCTATTGATCCAATGGATGTGATTAATGGAATCTCGTTAGAAGGTAAGTGGGATCATTAGTCAGCATGATTGTACTTCTGTCTCTCTCTCTCTCTGTCTTTATGTGTATTGTGTTCTATGTGACTGTAATCGAGTGAACAGTGTAGCTGTGGGCGTAGGTTTCTTTTGTCTAACTAATATAGTTTCTAAATTGTTAGCCTCGATTATACTTAGACGTCTAACTAGAGCTCGTGAAGAGCAAACTAGAGAAAACCAGGCTGGTTTCAGACCTGGACGTGGTTGTATAGACCACATCTTCACACTACGACAGGTCCTGGAACACAGACACACATTTAGGCGTCCTACAATAGTTGTGTTCCTGGACCTAAAGGCGGCATTCGACTCAGTGGATCGTGAAGTTCCAAGGCAGTGTCTGTCATTGAAATCTGTACCAAAGAAGTACATTAACCTCATACAAGCTTTCTACTCGAACACCACTGGTCGAGTGAGAGCTTATGGCGAACTGTCACGGGAATTCTTCACTTCATGTGGTGTCCATCAGGGATGTCCACTCCCTCTATTCTTGTTTAATTTTATCATAGACATGCTGCTAGAAATAACCTTACCCTCATCTGAATTCTCAGGAGTAGACCTTCTACCAAGTGGCTCGCTTATTGACTTAGAATATGCCGATGACATTGTCCTACTTGGTGAAGACGCTGACAAAATGCAGAGTCTTTTGACTACCCTAAGCAACAATGCACGCGTGTTCGGAATGCGGTTTTCCCCCGTCGAAATGCAAAATGTTGCTTCAAGACTGGGTTACATCGGCACCTGAACTAGTGATAGGGAGTGAAGTAGTCGAACGTGTAGACCGCTTCACTTATCTTGGGAGTCTCATCAGTGCCGATGGCCTGGTGACTGACGAAATCTCAGCATGGATACAGAAGGCTCGATTGGGTTTTGCCAACCTGCGTCACTTATGGCGTAGGCGTGATATCCGTTTGCTGACTAAAGGACGAGTGTACTGCGCAGTAGTTCGCTCCGTCTTACTTTATGGCTGTGAAGCATGGCCAGTGAGATTAGAAGATATTCGTAGGTTACTGGTTTTCGATCATCGGTGTCTTCGAAGTATTGCTCGTATATCGTGGGACACCCGAGTGAGCAACTCTGTTATTAGGAATCGGGTGCTAGAAGGTGAGTGGATCATTCTTCAGCATGATTGTACCTCTTTCTCTCTCTCTCTGTCTTTAGTTGTATTGTGTTCTATGTGACTGTCAGTCAGTCAGTCAGTCAGTTGCAACGGAAGAACTTCGTACGTATGTACACAAGTTCTTGTTGCCATACCACATTAGCTTAGCACAGAGACGCAAATGTCAAATCAAATCCTATAGTGATAAAGATAGTAGAGGTATTAATGGTAGTAATGAAGAAGACTAGGGTTCGAAGATATTATTCAAGAAATATAATTCAGTGAGATAAGGTTAGAAAGACAAAGGTAGAGGTGCTGACGAATCCAGAAGATTAGGATTTTTTAGAGAGCTCAAAGAGTGGATGCACTTGCGCCATTGCAAACGATTTTGAGCCATGTCGTTCAAGGTCTCTAACCATTGATGACGATGATGATGATGATGCCTACGACAAAGTTAAACAAGAATGGAGAGAGTGGACAGCCCTGACGGACACCACTTGATGTAGAGAATTCAGATGACAGTTCGCCATATGCTCTCACCCGACCAGTGGTGTTCGAGTAGAGTGCTTGTATAAGGTTAATGTACTTCTTTGGTACACCTTTCAATGACAGACACTGCCACAGAACCTCACGATCCACTGAGTCGAATGCCGCCTTAAGGTCCAGGAACACGACTATTGTCCGACGTCTAAATATGTGTCTGTGTTCCAGGACCTGTCGTAGTGTGAAGATGTGGTCTATACAACCACGTCCAGGTCGAAAACCAGACTTTTTTTCTCTAGTCCGCTCTTCAGCGAGCTCTAGTTAGACGTCTAAGTATAATCGAGGCTAACAATTTAGAAACTATATTAGTTAAACTTATTCCCCTGTGATTGTCACAAGAGGACTTCTGTCCTTTCTTGTAGATTGGGACAATTAGCGACTGAGACCAGTCGGATGGGATTACGTCCAGTTCCCAGATTCTACCTAGTATCTCGGTCAGTCTAACTGTTAAAACTGGACCACCATCCTTAAACATCTCAGGGGTAAGCCTATCGGGACCTGCCGCTCTACCTCCTCTTAGATTTCCTATAGCTTTCTCAACTTCATGTAAACTGGGAGGACTTAAATCGATTTGCCATTCAGGATGACTGGAGATCGTGGGCAACCGAAGTGTGGCTCGAGGCCAGTTGAACTGATCCCTAAAGTGTTCTGCCCATCGGTCCAGCCTCCTAGATTGAGAATGGATAATAATCCCATCCTTTTCCGAGATAGTCTCACTCACATTCGGGTTCCTAATACCGGTTTCTTTAATAAGGCGGAAAAGTTGTCTAGTGTTGCCTATCGCCGCTGCCTTTTCCATCGCTTTTGCTTTCGCCACCCACCACTGTTCACGGTCGTTACGTAGGCTTTTTATAAGTCTGCGCCTAAGCTGACTACGCTCTTCATCATGTTCAGAGCCAGGTGGGATGAGTTTTCGGGCATCCATTAGATCAGTGGATGCTACTGAGATCCACGGTTTCATTCTAGCCTTATGGTCAACCTTACTAGCAGATATCACTGCTGTTTCCACAGCCTTTTTGATATCATACCAACCTGCTTCAGGATGGGAATCATTTGCATGGCCGCCTAACTGTTTTTCTAGTTCCTCCTGAAATATTTTCTTAGCTTGATTATCATCAAGTAAAGCCCTAAGAGGCTTTCTTACGGTGTCTATGTGACTGTAATCGAGTGGTCAGTGTAGTTGTGGACGTAGGTTTGTTTTGTCTCCCCTTGTGGTGCGCGCTACTTATAAGTAGTATATGACGTGAGTGTCAGCGTAATGTCTGGCAG